CCTCAACGTACTTCTTATCCAATGTTAAAATGCGGCAAGGTTACCAATAATTCTTATTGATGATAAATACTGGTGTTTTAAATGACACTTTCGCTGGAAAATGTGGGACGAAGTTTATTTCCGCAATTCCATTAGTTTTCGTATCCAAAGACTCTAAACATGAAATAAAACTTGGCATTTCTCTGTAACCCTAGCCTTGTAACAATCTTCTGAAATCAGGCTTGCTTGACTGCCAGGGTCAAGGAGGGCTCTACACAATTGGTATTCACCGGAAAATCCCACACTTTAATAACAACCGTACATAATAAAACTTCACGCTGAAAAGTCTGAAACACAAAATTTAATTACTGGACTAGAACTTGTGATATTCTCCCCTGACCCAGCCGACTGAGTACGAGATTCTAGCTTGGGGAAAAATGGCTTAGCCGTCACTGATAATTCTTTAGAACTGTTCTTCACTTCTTTACGTACTTTTGGTTCATTTTGAACTCTTTCGAAATGCAGTAGTGTGTGATGATTTTTAAAGCACTTTTTACATTTATGTGTACTTCTACATTCGAAAGCTTTATGATTTGAAACCAAACAATTAAAACAAACTTTATTTTATTGACAAAATTGACACGTTCCTGAACTTCAGGTTTTACAAACTTCTGATTTAAAAACTGAATGGTCGGCTTTACAATACGTACACTGCGCGCGAATCTCTGAAGCCTAATGAAGTTAATTTTTCTCCCGTACCTTGTTTTTTAACACCTTGCGGTTTACCTGCTTTCAGGGTTCTGGCAATGAGATTTCAAGAACTTCTAACAGGCCATCAAGTGTTGGTATTTCCTCACTCTTTAATGTTCTTTCCCATCATCCTCTCTTCGAAGAATCCAATTTAAATTGTACTATTAACATTAAAATAGTATTCCGCGAATTGCTTCCCTTTGAATCCTAGAATTTTGAAACGAACATACACATTCTGTTACGCTGTCTACTAACGCTAATAACTGACTTGGAATTTCAGCTTGTAAATTTGATAAATACAAGATTTTCTTTAATAACGATGAAAGTAATTCTCTCTTATGTGAAAATCTTTGACACAATAAATGCCACGCTATTTCGAAATTCTAGTCACAAATAGTTAAAGCTTGAACAATCCGCAAAGCATCTCCCTCTAAAGAACACTTTAAATATTGTAGGTTTTGTGCACCTGATAAACGGTCATTATCCACTATCTCCATTTTAAATAAATCTAAAAATGATAACCATTCTTCAGCATTGCCACTAAATACAGGAAGAGTTAGCCTAGGTAAGCGTATACTCGCTATTTCACAAGATTTAATTTCCACACTAATATCTTTAGCATTCTTAACTCTGGTTAGCATTAAAATTAGCTCATCAACAGTATCTTATATGACCTGCTGCTCTTCTATAAAGACATTAATATCTTTTTTTTCACACACTACAAATATGTTACTAAAATATCCGAAAGTTCGGTCATTAAATTATTTAATCTAGATTTAAAAGTTTCTAACTGATCACATGAGCAAACGTAAGTCACTGTAATTTTCCTCTTTCAGTTTTTAACTTATTTTCTACACGCTTTTTAGTCTTAAGCGTTTAAATTCCATTATCTAATAAGAAAGATAAAACACACACTGACTCACCAAATTTACTGCGACTCGTAGCCGACGAACCAAAAACATGTACGTCCGTTGTTAAAATAGTGGACTGTAAATTGACTTGATATTACTTCAGTATAGAACCCAAAAAACCTCAGAATCATAACGTTGACATACTTCTTTATTGACTTCAAAGTAAGTTAGTTGAGAACGGCGAAGACCACACTGCCACCTCCGAGCTCAGTAGCGGCTTCCCAACACAACTCAGAAGAACCTCTGCTTGTTAAACTCCCAGTAATTCACAGCAACCCTCAAGCTCTAAACGCGAGCTTTAAAAACCTAACAAATTTGCGTCTGCGCCGCTCCTCGGTACAAAGAAAGAAATACAATTTGCATAACATCGAACATAATTCATTCTGTTGAGAGCTTCGCAGTAAAGATAAAACAGTATCAATCGTATTTAATGCTAAACACAATTTCAACATTTATAGACTTCACATACTCTTTTTTTAGACATTGAAATCGCAAACCGCCACTATGCCGCCAATTGCTGGATTACTGCTTCAGATGAACTATGAATGAGCGTGCTGATATTTAACCTAACGTATTTGTCTTCTTTACGATCGTACGAGTCTAGACTAATTCTACCAGCCTCGTAAATCTGCCAACCTTTAATTTCGACGACGTCAGAAAGTCAACTTGCTACAATTTTGCTCAAGTGAGTCACTTCTTCAAGATGATAAATATGGTCGCATAATTGCGTCCAGTTTCACAAGTAGCGTTGCCATCTCTTGGCTGTCAAAATCCGGGAGAGGAAAAGAAAATTCTGGGAGAAGGAAAAAAGTTTTTATTCAATCGCAACTGAAAAAAACTCCGCCTCCTTAATCTCATTTAAAAGCATTTTTTGAACTGCAGGAGTAAGCACACTCTCGCAAATACTTGTACATTTTGTTCTACCACAAGAAATCTTTTTTGCCAAAGAAGAATCTGGAAATAGAGTACTGTACAATTTGCTTGTGCAATTCTGGCTATTAAAACTATGATGGTGCTTTTTAATCCTATGATAAATATGAAGTAATTTCAATTGCTGATATAATTGTCCTGTTCTTCTGAAGATTTCTTCAGAAAAAAGTTTGAAACCGATTGCGAAGAATCTCTATTCAATATTAACAATTGACGTTCCTTGCTTTGAGAATGTACGGTTAAAACTCTAACATCCTCTTACTTAATATTAACCATTTTCCGACATACTCTTCATCATTCTCCGTTAAAGTTGTCTTTCTTCATAAGCCAATCAAACTGAGTTAACTACTTATCTTGAAACGACGTCGAATATTTTCTATTTTTTTTGTGGTACTTTTTCACCTGCAGAATCAGAACTTTTTTTTTTTTTTTACTGGACATTATTATGAAAGCATTTAAATAATTTTAAATTGCGCGTTTGTTTGTGGATAGCTGGTTGCAGATTAAATTATAGAGTGGAATGAAAAGGAATGAGGGTGAGGGAAGATGAGGGCGTGTGCGCGCGACATGCTGGCATGAAACTTCTACTCATCTCGTAAGGCGCTTACTCACCGCTCACCGTAGATCGCTGCTGCAAAGAACATGCATTCACATGACGTTCTTTGGCTGCTGTGGGCGATCGTGTGATTTTCGATGCTCTCAACCATTTCGTCCGTGCGCATTGTATCGTTATTTTCGAGAAACTTGATATTCCGGGAGAGTAATATTTATTTTAAATTCCTTCCGGAAACCGGGAGATTTTAATTTTCAGCGCTCAATTCCGGGAGAGGGGAGAACCCTATTCACAAGGGAGCTCAAGAGCAGCCCGCCGCCAATCATGAATCCAGGACAGGTAAAAGTGGACCGAGCACCAGATTTTCGCGTATGGATTTACAGGCTCCGTTGTCCTACTGTACTAGGACAACATTCATCACATGCACAAAGCACGCTGCCTCTGAAATCGGTCCAGTAAGGAATCCACTATACAGTATGTAAAGTATTCTTTCTTCTACTGAGCCTCGATGTTTCTTCCTCGATGTTTCCGAGCAAATCAGATATATGACAGTAACATTCGAAAACATATGGATCCAAAAAGACTGTTTAGGCTAGCAGCTCAGGTTCTCTCGCTCCCGCTTGAACGGCTTTACTTATCTTTTTTCTATTTTGTGTAATTATACATTAACTTTACACGTCTCTAGACGTCTCTAGTAATATATTTATGTGTTCGTCCACTCATAATTCTATACTAAGAATTCTGTTCTAAATTAGAAAATAAATTTCTACAATGAATTCGTATCTTGTACTGACTATGCAACGGTAATTTGTACGAGCAACACGTAGTTAGGCAATGACCATTATAGACTGGGCACAAGAAGCTTTAACTTTGCATATGCTAATGCTGGAAAGATTGCACTTCACCTTTTACTTCTAGCACTATTGTAATCACTATTAAATTTCAAACCCTAATACATTGAACACATTTTGCATCATATACCATTTGAAACAGATTATATTACTATACATTAAATTAAGAATAAAATAAATGAATATTTTTTATCAAATTTTTTCCTGAGTATGTGCAATGTTTTGAATTTTTTGTTAGCTTCAAAACAGCCCCTTAACTTCAAAATATTGTAACATTTTGTACATTTAGAATAATATCCTCAGTGTGAGTGCTATGGAAAACTAGATGTCTTAAAATCCAGTAAAATCCTTTTTTAGTACTTATTTTAATAAAATGCACGTATTCAAAATTTTGTCAGAAATTTTATTCAAAATACATAACACATATTTGGCAAAACATTTCAGCTTCCAAAACATTTTAAATATAAAGTATGTGTATGATTTATTAATATCACACATTCCTCTTTGTATTTTCTAAGCCAGTAGCTGCAACTTTTACACACTGTGTATAACATACATGAAAAATACAATTCAAATGGGTTATATATTTAGCAAATAGTAAAAATGATTTCATACCACCACAAGAATCAAATACACGAGTCTACATACGTAAATATAGCTATAATACAGTAAAATACAAATATATTTGTGTCTGAATGACTTTATGAAAAGTACATATTTTCACAAAATCTTATCATATATCTTTTAAAAATGAAAAATATTTCAGATGAATCTTTTTTTAAATATTAAAAAGAGCCTTTTTTATATTATATTTTAAAACTATACCATTCAATATTTTAAAATTATACATGATATTTTACAAGAGCTACAATATAGTTTTATTGCATATACCAGAAAGAATGCATAACTGTTTTTGTTTACATGTCATATATTGAATATAGTAAAAAAAGTGCAAATTATATATATATATTATTAGATTTTTGAACTCATGAAATTTAAACGGGAAAATCTATAGTTTTATCCAGATTTCCGCGAATTTTAATGTATGTGTTTTGGTATGTTCTGAGCTTAAATGCTGATTTTCTATTTTATTTACAATATTTTATACAATTATAAATAGATTTTGACTGATAATCAATTCTTCATCAGAAATGAAGACATTTTCTTCACTGTTTCACTATTATATTTATTTTTGAAAAACCTTCTTGTACCAAGTTACTCATATGTATATATATGGTGCAAATATATATGGTGCAAAATCAGCATTTTAAGCTCAGAACATACCAAAACACATACATTAAAATTCAGACGGAAATCTGGATAAAACTATATAGATTTTCATCCCCGTTTAAATTCTCAATGAGTTCAAAAATAGCTAGGTTAAGATAATTACTTACCTTAAGTTTTAAAACTAAGATAAAAGATTTAGAATTAAGTATCTGAGTACAGCAACAGTTTTTCTCAATCAAGCGTACGACTCGAAATTCACATAAAATTACGAAATAAAATGTTGAAAAATTAGTTTCACTTTTGGATACTAAAACCAGTTCGTTTACACATAATTATTTATCTTTAATTCTGAGAAAATACTTATTTTTGAAAATTTTTCAGTAAATGTAACAAACGTTAATGTTCAGATAAATATTTGAATTAATTCATGGGAATGTGAGAAAACGAGAGCTCAAAAATACTTTTCTCTCTTCATGTATAAAAATAAAAATAATTGAGACCTTTTCTTCGAAATTTACACGCATTGACAGATTACATTATAACCAAATTTCAAGCAGACTACCATAATACATATTAAATAATCAGAATTATAATTATCTCTGTTAAAAGTTCAGTTAGAGAAACACTATTTAGGGTTACCAAGGAGGCGAAATACAAAACAATGTTCGTAACGTTAATGAAATAAAATATGCTAACAAAGAAAAATTAAAAAGTTAAAGCATATTTATGAAGAATATCACCCAGACATGTTCATTTGATTATGTAAATTTGTACTAAGATGATAAATATTTAGAAATGTAGAAAAAATATGCTAGTTTACTTGAAACACTGCATCTACTGAAGGATGAAAAATTTGATATTAAGTGACATTTGGATATCGACAAAATACATATAAATACGAATAATAATGTAAGATGATGAAAAAAACTGAGGTATTATTATAAAAAATGCAAAATTAACAGTAATGATTACATTCTGGAAACTTTAGACGTACAAATGCTATTTGGTTAAACAATGAGCTAAATATTACCCATTTATATCACAGTCTGGTCTGAAACTGTGCAAGAACAAATTTTATTTGTACTTGTTTTCTTTTATATAATAAATGTAAAATATATATTTATTTATAAATGTTAAATGTTAAGAGGTTAAATGTGAAATTATTTCGAAGTAATAATAAAAATTTAATTTCTTTTTAAAGTCCGCTTGTCAGAACTTTGCATGTAGAAGCAAAGCTACTTCTACGAAATTTCTGTTTCATTTTTAACGTAACTGGAAAGTTTCATAATGAAGCATTCCTTTATCTCTTTATATACTTGAACAAAAAGCATAATAATTTGATAAAAGAAAGTATATATTCAGCTATATTCATATATATTGAGCTTTAATACTAAAGCTTTGAAAAATTTTTGACTGAAGATTATAAATATTGTTTGAGATTCTTTTCAACTTGTGCGCAAAGTATGTAAAAGAATACGGAAAAAAACTATTTCCTGTATAATACATTTTTAAAACATGTTAGAATGTATTGTCCGTTTAATATGGATAACTTTAGATAAAGAGAACTACATGAAAGGAATGCATTAATTGAAAAAATTAAATCAATGTTATACTGATCTTTATGTAAGTCATAATATCAAATCTGCTTAGAGTTCATAAATATACCATGCTACATTGTTAAGCTATATTTGTTAGAAACATTATTATGCTATATTTTTATTCACATTTTAGTAAAATTAGGCTATTGTATGTAGTAAAACTGGTTTGTGTGCAATTCAGATATCGTACTTGCTTTACATAAAGCTGAAATTTAAAACTGTAGCTAAGTTTCAATATTTACAGTGTTACTTAAACGCGCTACAGTGCAATAAGATACATAAATATATACATCCAAAACGAAATAAAACCACCCTCAAAATATACAGTAAGATTTATGTACAGTTCTATTATACACTACACTACCCAGAGAATCAATTGGGTTACTTTAACTTGCATATGTGTTAAAATGAAACTACATTTACATAAGCAGAAGCTTGTGATTCTCCGGAACAATTAGGTCATGAATTTCTGTATCATGATTTCATTTGAATGTATGGCAAAGGCAAAAATTTGACTGACTTTATTGTTATTCCTTTACAGAAATATATACATTTTCTACCCGAAACACTATCTCTAGGTAAAGAAATTTTGTAACATTTAATAGTGCCTTAGAAGAAACATTTCTTCGGTAATTCGAAGTGACACTAATATTTATTGAATCGAACAAACCGAAAGTTTGTAGTTTTAACAGAATGGCACTCAACAACTAAGGAACAACAAAATTTGCCAATGTGACATAAAAATACTCATACTAAAAAAAAAAAAAAAAAAAAAAATTAGAGTATTTAGAATGGAAAAAAGCTATAATAAAAAAAAGCAAGCTCTTGAAAGCAAAAATATTCAATTTAAAAATGAACAAACACATGTTAAACTGGTCATGAAAACTGAAACTTCAGTCATAATGTTTCTGCTGTTGTGAGCAGAATTTAAAATTTGCGATACGCAAAAGTTTCAAAAAGTGCTCTATCACAGAAAATGCCCATAATTTTCCTTTAAAATTACAGCAGGATTAATAATATATAGTATGTGGACTAGGAGGCACTACAGTTGCACAGATTTCAATCTATAACCTACTCGTCACGAAAATTCTAAATTTATTTTATGTATATATCACAATATACTTTGTGCAATAAAAGTAATTCGGTTTTCAAATTTACTTGCTGTTAAAAACATTCATGAAATTCGATGGATAACTGGAAAGCACTTAGCGTCTATAAGCTAATTAATTAAATAGTTATATAAGCAAAAATTCACTTAATATTTAAATGATTTTTAAAGCAATCATTTGCTGCATTCTAACAGTATGCAATCATTTTTGAAGAATTAAAAAAATTAAATAAAAAAATAGTAAAACATTTGAAACGTTTGGAAACCTTTTAATTTTAAACTAGAATTAAAATTAAGTTAAAATTTTTATTGAAATTTAACTTCAGGTGGTCATATTATAGACTTAAGAATATGCATCAGCAGCAGACATTTAAATAAATAAATATAAATAAAAATAAATTAAAAAATGTCTCCTATTTTATTATTAAAAAAATGTTTTTCGTGCAAATTAAGTCGTATAGCATAGTAAGTCTATTTTTGCCATGGTTTATATAGCAAGCAAACCAATTTCAGTTGAAATCATAAGAATATTTGATAAAATTTTTGGAGATTAGGAAATTGTATCTAATATACACTATCATATTTTAAATGTAATTCAAAATATCGGATTAATTCATACTAGTAGGTGGTAAAATCATACTTATCAAAACGTCTATGTGTGGTTATAGTATGTATTAGTAATATCATTTACTTTTGCTCCCTAGTATTAAAGGCAAACATTTTGATCTTATCCAGTTTTAGTTTAATAAGTAAAAATTGCAACTGATATAGAAGAAGTGATAATTTTTTCGAATTAATTTTATAATCCTTGGATTAGATGTAAAATATTTTTTTTGACCGATGCACATGAGAAAGATAACAGTTAGGAGCACTAGTAAATGTGCATCTATTTTCCTTACTCGAAAACAGTAAGGATGATTTTTACATTCATCACTAATACTTTCACAGAAATTCTTGATGATGTTTGACAAAATATTTGCTATCAATTTTTATTGTACGTGATTATGGATGATTATACACGATTAACATTATCATCTCATTTTAAACGTTAAACAAGAAAAAAAAAATTGGTATTGCTAATTTAACGGTTTTTATTTCTGTATTTAATAGTTGAATTCAACTTTTAATGACTTTTGTTTCTCGCTGAATTTAAATTAGATTTTACGCCACTTAAACAGAAACTGTAAATTTGTAACAAAAAATGTTTATGTTATCAATAGTAATGGGTATGGTTAATTTGGAACTAAATCCACTAAGAAAATTTTATGCATTTCAGGATGGTCTGCGATTCTGAAATATTGAAATAATATTCAGATTAGAATTGTACTTTTACAGAAAACTTGTAGAATATATTAACAGATAGGATTTCCCTCTTAAGAAGGATATATTAGCTCGCTAAAAATAATGTCTCGTTATGATAAAGAATGTAAGAAAACAGATAAATACGTGAAAAGTATTCTTCAAGCTGCACGGATGAAGTTAAAAGAATGCTTTAAGCATTTAGGAGTGGTAATGAAAGTCTATCATATAAATAAACAAAGTTGATACGTAGCTCCTAAACTTCTGATTAATTTCCTTTTTTGCCACTATTACGTGACTTTAAAATCTTGCATTATTATTTTCTCTTTTCAATTAAAATTTGCTTCATTTTTAAAACTGCCTTTATACATAGAAAAACAAATAATATTAAGACACAGGACTTTTTCAAAGCAACACAAATGCCACACTTTTTCGAAAAACATAAACATTGCTAGACTAGGAGTAGATAATCATCTCCCTAGAATTCAAAAACTTAAAGTCTTTGGTTACGAGTTCTGGTACCCATACAGCCTTTGCTGCAGACACCATTCGTTCTTGGCCAAAATACTGGCATGCCATGCGCTGTTATCAAAAGGGCCCAGGTCGCCACCGAATTCTTCTGGCAAGATTGCTGGAGTTATATGCTTATGAAGCGATTTTAGATCTTCCCCGTGAATATATATCTGAAAAAGTAAAAATGTTCTTCAGTAGTACAAAAAAACAGAAAATACTTAAAGAAATGCAAGCTATAATTTAAATACACCATTTTAAGTAGAAAGAAGACAGTTAAATTTAAAGTACTTAAACTGTTGATTTTGTGGCAATCTGAAACAATCATCTTCCCTGTTTCGTCGATGGTTCACAACTAATTGATTGATACTAGACAAGCAATCGAAATGTGAATTCAAATTCGAATCTTAATGACGAATAAAAATAATATTCATCTTTTATACTTTTTGATACAGAAATTGCGGAAGAGGTTTCGACACATCTTATGAAAACACATTGAAATATTATTAAGGGGTATTGGAACCCAAAAATCTTCAAAAAAGGGTGATTTTGGATTTTTGCAATTTCAAATTCTTTACACTTTTATCTTTCTAAAAATACAATTTTTAATCTCTACGAAAATTAGAACTGTAAAAATCTAGTTTTAATTTGTCATTGAATGCTTTGGATAAATGAGGATAAACGCGATTTTTTTATACTGGATGTACCTTTTTTCAGGAATTACTGCTCACAGGTATTTATCATTTGAGTATAATCAGATAGGTATACTTTAATTACACAAAAAATTTCAAGCTACAGTAGATTTTAAGAAAAGGTACATCGAAAATGGCCAATTTAACATTGTCGGTATAGGGGTTGCTGATACCCCTTAAACCTTATTTGGTCTCGTAAAAGTTTTGCAACAGTTCGGTGGAGAAGTGCTCTGGAAACACCTAAACGAAATTAATTTTTTTAGAATATTTTTATGATACAAAAATTGATAAATGATTAATAATTTTATTCTACGGTGAAACGTGTTCAGTAATTTAATTAAGATACAAAATGTACTCAGATAGACATGGTGTTTTCCAGGCAAATGAAAACAGTCGTTTGGAAACTTGATGTTCATGTCCCTGCGAACAGTGTTATAGAACATTAAAGAAAATTCTATACACGGACATCCAAATGCTGGAAAATTTAATGTTTAATACTATCATTAAGTCATAAATTTAAATTGTTTCTAATCATATACTAATCATCATTCTTAGAGATATGATTCTTAGAGATATATATTCTTAGAGATATTCTTAGTAATATGATTATAACAAATACGTTTTCATTGCTGTTTTGATACAGCAGTTACCATAAAATACATTTCAATGCATATCAGGATAACGATGCAATAAAATTACTATTATTCCAATACTATAGGGAAGAATAGTGAAGTCTAATGTAACAGCAAATTTAAAACAGCATATTTACTTTTGAATTTTATCTAAAAAGAGCTATAAGAAACACTGTAGAGACATTTGGTTATTTCGACGTAGAAAAAGGAATAAAAAGAAAATAAGTCTTCAATGGTAAGATTTAGAGAACTAAACTTTTCTTCGCTTGAGCAATTCACGGGAAAAATAGAAAGATTTGTTGCATGCTGGTTTTGATGTCAAGAAGAATCTGTGAAATATATTATGCGTAACATTCTAATGACTAACATTAAAAACAGAGATGCAGAAATATTTAAATCTAAATCTTAAATTGTCTTGGTCTTTTTCTTTATGTTGTTTCGCACTGCTGCTGAAGCGATGAATACGAAAAAGTGCAATTATTTAGCCTTGGCTGTTTTTTCCTCAGGTTCAAAGCATAAAATGCATAATATTAACAACTAATATGAAATTAAGAAGCAAGAAACATAATATATCTCAAAAATCTTAATTATGGAATTTGTTGCTAACTGCAACGTTTGATGTCAGAAGAATCTGTGATATATTATGCGTAACATTCTAATGACTAACATTAAAACAGAGATGCAGAATATTTAAATCTAAATCTTAATTGTCTGGTCTTTTTCTTTATGTTGTTTCGCACTGCTGCTGAGCGATGAATACGAAAAAGTGCAATTTAATTTAGCCTTGGCTGTTTTCTCAAGGTTCAAAGCAAAAATGCATAATAGTTAACAACTAATATGAAATTAAGAAGCAAACAATAATAATATCTCAAAATACTTAATTATGAAATTTGTGCTAACTGCAAAGTTTGATGTCAAGAGAATCTGTGAAATATATTATGCGTAACATTCTAATGACTAACATTAAAAACAGAGATGCAGAAATATTTAAATCTAAATCTTAAATTGTCTTGGTCTCTTTCTTTATGTTGTTTCGCACTGCTGCTGAAGCGATGAATACGAAAAAGTGCAATTTAATTTAGCCTTGGCTGTTTTTCTCAAGGTTCAAAGCATAAAATGCATAATAGTTAACAACTAATATGAAATTAAGAAGCAAGAAACAATAATAATATCTCAAAAATACTTAATTATGGAAATTTGTTGCTAACTGCAACGTTTGATGTTAAATTTAAGAACTTAAGTCTTTGATTTTTTTATAGACTAATATACAGGTTTCTAGTTAATATGTAGGGTTTTCCCTCAGTATATCACAAATAATATTTGCTGCATAAAATGATATTTGCTGCCTAAATTTATATTTGTGTTCAACTCTGTCACATTGCCAACTGTAAAGTTCAAGTCACGTTACCAACTGTAAAGGGAGCTTTGTTATACTGTTTCAATAGTTTTCTTTTACTGTTTCAATAGAAATTTAAGATATCCCTTAAGATACGTGTGAAATTTTAAATATTAGAATTTCTGGAACACTTTTTATTTGATATTTATACTGTAGGTGATATTTACTATGTCAAGATCAAGAAGAGGGGCTTGACTGCGCAGTAAAGTAGTGATTAATGCGCAAGTGATGATGATCCAATATGACAGCTTTCGAATCTTAGGTGAGCTTGAGATATTGAAGCTGATTATGTCGACGGAACGGTAAATCGTAAAGCTGTAGGAACTACGTGTGAAAGCGATTAGCCATTTTTTTAATAATGAATTTGTTATGGAGGTCGTTTACTTGATTCAAAAGTAAGATGATTCAAAATAGTACTAACTGATAAGTGATATCTGTTTTATTCTCTGTTTAGTTTTGATAATGATTATCTTTTATAAAATGAGTAATAGTGTTGTGATTTTAGATTGTGTCAATAATTATCAGATTTTCTTCTCAAGGAAATTTCAGTTTTACATCATCCTCTTGTGCAACGCACTAAATTAAATTAAAAATAATATTGTAAATTATTATGTCCCAAAATAAAATGTCCAACACTAATTCGAAAACTTCTATTTTATAATTTCTCATGAATGCTTTCTTTAACTTCTGTCCTTTAAAAAGGTAAAACTATTCAGCTAAGGAGATAAATATATTATTATATAAACTTTAGAAGGTTAATGCAGGCAGAGAGATAAAATTCTGATTATTAAATTCATAAATGCATAATTACTTTACGGAAGTCAGCATCGCTTTCGCTGAACACAGTCATTTCTGATACGCACGCGTGCTTCCTTGCATGTAATGATAAATAAATTTGTCCACCCTTACGTCACAAGTCGTAAATAACCTTGTCATCTATCTGTCTGTTACCTTCTTCAAGAACGAGAGCTTTCAGCAATCAAACACAAATACAGCAGCCAAAATCATTAGTCCTGTTTCCCGTTTTTTGTTTAAAGGTTGCGCTTTAAAACACATTCAGATCTTATCAAAGTAAAGTGGCAAATACATTACTATCAATGCCAGATTATGTGATAGTCAGATTTTGAGTAAAACGAAATGATGTAAAAGAAATCTGAAAGCCTTCAAATTTTACATTACGCCCAAAGGCAATTTTTAACGTTTCTTGTGTTATCTTTATTTACTAAATATGTTCTTCGCACTTAAATCATAAATTCAATTCAACAGAAATATCGCAAAATAATTTTAGAATGAGCACATTTTTAGATCTTTAGAATTTCCGATACACATTCTCGCGCCACGGAGATAAAAATGTTTTTTTTTTTTTTTTTCCCGTGCAGTATTGCCATTCCTCGCTTTGGCTTTGAAATCGTTAAGTTTGTTAATAAAACATTCTTTAATGTCTGGTAAAATATGAATTATCTAATAAAACAAATTCAAAATTCCAAATTAGGGCTTCCAGATGCGCCATATTCGGTGGAGGATTAAGTTATTCAAAATTTGATGACTCTAGGTACTCTACATTGTTATCACAATGCGAGAAATATACATACATTTAAGCAAATTCTTCATTATATTTAATTTCTTTAAATATAATACAGGGCTGTAATATTTGGTGGCGACAGTTTGAAATGTGAATCAACTCAAAATGCTAAAAAAGTTAATAGCCCTTCTGGGCTAACTTCCTTTGGGCTAAAAAATCTGAAAGCTTTCAAATTTTATATTAAGACAAATATTATATATAGTATATATATATATATTTGTTAAGTATCATGATGTTGTGTAATTTGAAGAAAAAGGCTAGAGGGCGCTGTTGCTCGCTTAGTTGTGAGAGAATAAAGTTTGTTCATGTTGAAGGCGGCGGCCTAAGAATACGCTCTGTATATAGTAATTAAAATATTGTTTAAAATGTAAAAGTGTTAAAATTAGTAAACCCACTGAACCACCATCATCTGATTTGGAGATGCACAAAATTATTAGATGGTGCATCGGCGTAAGGAATTAAGGCTTTGTGAAGATTTTAGGTGTTCGATCCAAGTGTTTCCGATTTGAATTTAACAATGGATATTTCATATTCAAAGTGACAATGGAATTCCAAATAAAGGTAGGGAAATCTTAAATTAATTATTTAGTGATTATTTGTAGTACTTAGTAAGTATTTATTATTGCTGTCGTGGGTGTATTTAAATTAAATAAATGGAAGAAAGTTAGATAGATTGAAACGTAAACGTTCCACATTGAGATCGACTGTTACTAAGGTTAATTAAAGTGATTGAAGAATAAATTAAAAATTGAAGGGGAGGAAAATTCGATTAAAGAATTACGAGCAATTGTTTGAATTATTAACCGAAAATAAAAATAATTTGAGAACGCTTGAATGATGAAATACAATAGTTAATTGATGTTAACTTAAT